TATATATATATATATATATATATATATATATATATATATATATATATGAATTATACAAAATTCATCACTTGTACAATAAATATTTTTAGAACAAAAGGCACAAGAGGCTTTGAATTTTCTAAAAATACACTTTCCCCAGACTGGTAATTATGCAGTTTCATGTTGTTGTTGTTTTCCCATCATGCACTTGTTTGAGACTTCAGTATCTTGTCATGATCAAGTACTGAAGCTGAAAGAAAAAGTGAAGTGGTAGTTCTGAAATGAGCTCAAATTAAGTTTTAGTGGGGTAGTTGTGGAGGTTTAGTGATCAGTCATCACATTTATTCTGTTATATGTTGTCTTAAGAGATAAAGACGACTCCGATGTTTCATCGGTGCGTTGAAGGAGCCATGTTTAAATCTTTGGAGGGACAAATGGGAATGATTTCAGGAAGACGTGATATTTCTGCATTCTCACAGCTACAGTGTGTGTGTGGTTCCTTTGTGCAGGTGAGGGAGGTAACGGCCCAGCTGAGCCGCCCAGTGACAGCCAGCTTGGAGTCTCTTGACCAGGCCACCATTTTGTCCTCCGTCACCTTGTCTAGGAAACAGGAAGCTGAACATGAGGATGGAAATGATCTTGGCAGAAAACAATCAGAAGAGAGTAATGGTGCTGAGACAGGTATTTTATTTTTATTTTTTTTAACCATAAAAAGCCTCTCATTAAATAACCAAATCATCCAAACTGTAAAGAATGTTGATCTCTTTCTGTAAATAATGTCTTTTTAAAATGTGTTTATCAGAGAGCCATGAAAGAGACTCTGAGTCCATCAGAAGTGGTTTTGGTGCTGGAGTTAAACGTTTTGGAGGAGGACTGAGTCAGTCCAATGTCAGGGAGGTGGAGACTTTGATGAAGGAGCTATGTACCCCCACCCTCCCTGAAGGCCAGAAGAACAGCCAAGAACTTCAGGAGAAGAGTGACTCTCTGATGCAGCGCACTAAGGTACAAACATCTTTCTTAACGTTCTTTTTAGGAGTAACTCTGTGAGATGGCTTTCTCATAAAACTGTGGATGCTATAACAAGACACACTGCCTTTATAGTAGCAGTACTTAAAAATAATTAAAGGAGATTTTTTAAGTCCATCAGTCTCTACAAAGACTTCCTTTGTTTTTTATTATTTGACTCTTGGGGCAAATCTCCCTCAAAATGCCACCAGCTTGCACACTGTGGTCTACTCAGCCTCAGGGAAACATGGACACAACCTCTGGACAGAAGCTGCATCTGGAAAAGCACAACATCTCCAAGCATTTCAAACGTACACTGCTGCTCACTTTTCACACCATCTGTAAATGTGACGCCAGGACTTTGACAATTTGACAGACCCAGGCAACATTTAAAAAAAGAGAAATGAGCTCCGTCCTGGCTGTATTTTTAATTTCAGTACCAAACTTGTGCACAGTTTGCATTCTGGTAATAAAGGATTATAACAGTCCAGACTGGATATACTGTAGGTCTATAATTGCCTAGAGCTCCTGAATCAAGATTAGGTTTCCTAAGTAAGGAATTATTTAAAGGCTGTGGTGCATCAACATCCACTAAAGACTGATCCAAACCTGAGAAGGTAATGGAGGGAAACACGTCTTTGAACATTCAGCTTCAGATGGTTTAGATCAAGATATTAAGCTGAAATTTTCACATAAACTGTACACTAAAGATGAGCGTAACAACATGTTGTTGTCATCTACATGGTAAGTTATTTCACAAACTTTATATAAAAACCATTAAAGCTTGATTATAGAAAGACAATCTGCTGTAAAAACACTAAGAACTGAAAATCAAAACAGAATAAAACTGTCTTTCTTTGTCCAGACATGTTTTATTTACTGTATATCAAGACGTTTGATGGGGGAGTGGTGGCGCAGAAATTTGAGAAAGCAGACCTGTGATTGGAAGGTTGCCGGTTCAACTCCTCGGGTCAAGAACATCAAAATATGTGGGTGGGAAAGGTGAAGCATGCACACCTGCATCCACCCTCGTTTGCCCCACTCTGGGCCCTTGAGCAAGGCCTTTAACCCCCACCATCTGTTCCCCGGGCACCCTAGACAGCAGCTCTCTGCTCCACACAGAGGGCTGTGGTAGCTCGGTGGTCTGTGGTTGTGTCAGGAAGAACATCTGGCATAAAACCAATCACCAAGTCTTCGTGTGAGTTAGTACACTGTGGTGACCTCTGAAGAAGGGAGCAGCTGAACAAAGAAAAAATATATATCAAGAAGTTTGATACTGAGCTTTTTTATCACCAACTTTTAGGCAACACTGTTCAGGTTTTATATATTTGACACCTCTATCTGTAGTGATTTGATTTTTCCTAGTGTTTAGTTGACCGTTACATGGAAAAGCAACAACGAATATTACGTATGTTCCAGGTTTTCTGTTCACACCTGGAGCTGCTCATCCAGCAGCTGTATGCACTGGCAGAGAGGATGGAGCGGCTTGCTGCACCCACTGTGGACATAGAGTCTGTAAAGTTATCTCTGGCCGAGTATCAGGTGAGACCTACGCTCCACGGACAATAAATAAATAAAGCACACCTACATGTTGTTTTTGAGCATTAAACTGTCTGATGTTTGCCCATGGTTAGGTGCAGGTGTGCACCAGTGGGCATGGTTAGGGTTATGTTATTGTGAAAAGATGTTCAAGGAAATAAAATCAGCTCATGCTTGGTTTACTTACTTTTGGGTAGTGTAGTTATTTGACTGGCCTTACAGTGTAGGCTTATTGAAAGAAAACTACAAAATGGCGGCGCCTGTCCGAAGCATTTTTTTCATTAACCTTTTTTTTAATTCCATACCATCCCAATCACGTAAGTAATATTAAAGTTGACAATCCTTGAAAAACCGCAAAATAGTGAGTCAGCGAAAGTCAAACTGCGACGTAGCGAAGGACTACGGTACACTTCAATCTGTGCCCTCATTTACCTCCATGCAGCACTCTGTTAGATCTCTACAAAGATGATCTGAGTCTGTAGAGACTAATCAGAGCTTTATCACATTCATACACTGATGGGACACACATCGGATGCAATGAAGGGTTCAGTGTCTTGCCCAGGGACACTTCGGCATGTGACTACTGGTGGATTCAAACCCCCAACTCTTGCAATGGAGGACGACTGCTCTAACCACTCAACCACAGCTGCCCCAGAAATCAGAGTGCTGATAAATGTAGAAAGACATCAGAACAATGCATTTCAGTGTGATGAGTATAGGGCTGCACAGCCATAGACAGACTAAAGTGTCTTCATCCACTGCTGGCAGTCACAGGGTGGACATGTTGGTATGTTTTGTAAAGCCAGTGTCTCACTGAGCTGTGCCTGTGGAGACGAACTGCAAACAGCATTTGTGAGCAAGTTTCCAAAAAGTGTCAAAACGTGTGAGGTTTCTTGACGTTGTCAAAAATTGCACGGCCTTGCTCTCATGTTGCTGGAGTTTTGTACCTGTTCCAAATGTTTACGTTTTTCTCTCATAATAGTCGTAGATTCGTTGCAGGTAAGCCATTTCAAAACCTTCTCAATTTAGTTTTCATGAGTCAAAGTGTGAGACAATTTTGGGAGGATTTTGCAACCACTGAAACCAAATTGTAGAGACAACAGAGAATAAAATGTGATCAAATTAATGCAGAAGACACTTTGCCACCAATTAATGAAAAAAATGTGTCGCTGCAAAAATGTCATGTTATTGTTGCAATTTATTTGCCATTTTACACATATGCAAATGTGTCATAAGTTTCAATTCAGTGTACACTAGAGTTGCACCCGGGTCCAAAAAATCCGACCCGCCACAGCCCGTAGCCATAATTTCCGAACTCCACCCAATCTGACAAATTAACAGTAATTACAGGTCCAAACCCAGAAAAAAACTGACATTGTTAATTAAGCATTGACTGCTTATACCACCGACTATTAACGGTTGGCAGACACGCGGCTGAGTGAAGGGGACAGAAGATCAGAGTTGAGGAGCCCTCAAAGCGCATTAAATGCTTCCCCTGCTTCTGCCTGCATCCTGCTCTGACATGTCAGATATTTTGTGATCTCACCTGTTTGGGTCATCGGCCGCGTCCGTCCTCTGAGTCCAGCGGCTGAATTAACGTCCATTTGGGCTGATGGATCGCTGGCAGTAGTCCATCTGAAGCTTAACTGAACTTTTTACCTCTTTCAACCAGCCAGTCAGCGCACGGTCAAATGACCACGTGCAGCAGGTGACAGTATGGCAAGCCATGTTGGCATATAATTGGATCGTCGGCCACACGCGTCTGCTGAAGCAATAAAAAGCCTCACACTGACCCGGCCCACACATTAAGCACATTATTATGGCCCGGCCCGGTCCAAATCCGTGTTGGGCGGGGCCAGGCTCCAGGTTCGGTTTAGAAATGACAGCTCTAGTATACAGTAGTCCCTTGCTACATTGTGGTTTGTTTATCATGGACTCGCTCTATCATCATTTTTCAAAATAAGATTGGACATGACACACAATTGGCTGATTGATGGCTGACCCGCACGATCGGCATGAAATTTTTATTTTAAATTAATTATTTTAAATTATTAAGCAATTGTGTGCATCCCACAGCTACAGGAGAAGCTCCCTTTTACAGCATGTCGTATCTCTGCTCTGCAGTGGAGAAGTGGGCGTGGCCGAGAGCGCTGGCAGGTGGCAGAGAGCTGAAATCATGACATTCTGTGTTCTTTTAGAGCGTTTAGAGTTTAGAAACATTGTTTTACTACTTGTACTACTACTCCTACTTCGCAGATTTTCACTCATCGCGGGTGTTCAGGGTACGGATCCCCCACGATAAACGAGGGACTACTGTAGTACCATGTGAATATTCATGTATTTTCTCACTGTTTTGTGTGTCAAAGTAGCCACCAACAATCACAGCCCAGTGAGACACTGGTGTCAGCTTCACAAACGGAGCACACAGCAATGAAAGACGTTTGTCTGGTTTGATGGATCACAGTTTATTTTACGCCTTGTGGTTGCTCAGATCACTGTGTGTCATTTACCTGAGGGACAGGTCACTGAAACTGAGGTTTCTGTCTGAGTTGCAGTCAGTGTGCCAAGCTCCTCCAAAAGTACAGAGGGAGAGAACTTGAGCTGCAAACGGGTCTTATTCTGCAGAAACATACCAACATCACCAACCATCAAAACCATATTGCAACCTAAAGCGTGTTCTGGTGTGTTTTCAGAGCTTTCAGAAAGAGATGAGCGAGCATCAACCTCTGACCTCATGTGTGCTACATGCTGGACAGCATCTCCTCAGCTGCATCAACAACACCTCGCCATGTCTGTCTTCTACTTACAACCTCTTTAAAAATGCTGAAACTAAAATTAAGATTCAGCATCTTTTTCCAGCAGGGACTTAATCCTGTTCTCTTGTCCTGTTTGCAGTTTTAAGAGACACGCTGCTGCTCATCGAGAGGCAGTCTGGAGCTTTGCAGACCCACTCGGACCACATGTTCTCCTCAATCCTGTTCGCCATGGACAGTCTGACGCAGAACACTTCCTCTAGTCCAGCTGAGTGGAGGAGAGTGGACGGCCCTGTAGGGACTTAAAGTTTGTAGGCAAACTGCAACGATGTCATAGATATATTTATATTTTCTAAATTGCTTCATTTTGTTTTGCTTTATATGCAACATTTATTTTCAAACCCAGAAGACACTGGAGGTATTATTTTTCACAACTTTAACTTTTTTCTTTACTTAAGACTTTTGTACATTTATTTTGTATTCATAATTTGTACCTCAAGCACTAATAAATAATATGTGTACTAATAATATTCAAAAGCAGTGCATTCACAGGCAGTCCAAAATGTTTCATAAATCTTAAAGCTGAATGATTTAACTAAAAAGGAGTGAGTTTGGTCTTTGTTGGGGGGAGAGGCGGGGTATCTTTCTGTTTTCAGCAGCTCATTTAGAACCAGTTCATGAGGCTATAGTCTTAAGCAGAGATCTCCACTGTCCGTCATGACTCATGCAGGCCATGTCAAGAAGATCCCAGCCCTGCAGAGAGCTGCGGTGAGTCCTTGTCTCCAATCATACCTTCTCTGCAATAAACTGAATCCCCTCAATCTAAAAAAGTTAAATCTGGTCCTCTGGACATTCAAAAAAAACAAAACAAAGCAAATCAACAAAAAAATGTAGAAACGTTTTGTCTCTCGTCCGAGAGACTTCTTCAGTCTGAGGAGCTGTATTCAGCTCAGTCTCTTAAATAGCACCTTCTCAGAGTGGATCAACCAGTTTTGCTCAACCAGATCCACTCTGAGACGATGCTATTTAAGAGACTGAGCTGAATACAGCTCCTCAGACTGAGGAAGTCTCTCGGATGAGAGACGAAACGTTTCTACATTTTTTTGTTGATTTGCTTTGTTTGTTTTTTTTTGAATGTCCAGAGGACCAGATTTAACTTTTTTAGATTTTTCTACCTGGATTATTGAGCATGCATCAGGATATGAATCCCCTCAAGTTGTCTGCAAGTCATGCTCAGTCTACAAAGCACTCCTCAAATAAAGGACCAGTGAGAAAACAGAGTTTTGAAGGCAAAATAATAATAATAATCTAAATGTAATTGTATTGCACGTTTAGTTTGTCAGCTTTATTGGAGTATAAATTGGTATTTTGCAATTTAATTACATTTGGAGGCCAATGGTTTTTTTTTCCAGAGTATTTTTTGTTTGCTTTTATTTATTTCTTTTTTCAAATTAGGATGTATTAAAAAGGATATGGTCTTCACCAGATCCCAAAACTATAAGTGTACAGGCCATGCACAACAGATTTCACCATGTTGTTATTATTTATTGAGCGTAAGCAAAGTCAAAATAGAAAAGATTTGATCAATCAAATGTCTCAACACATTGTCAGTGTGAACACCTCTGTAATGGCAGGAGTTTCTCTGGAGTACACAGGTGTGTGTTAACACAATGCTAAGAAGGAAAGGCATCAGCAATGATCTTAGAGCAGATCATTGCTGCTGCCCGTCAATGTGGGGAGAGTTAAACAACTTGGAGTCCATCATTTCACAAAGAATGATTATTCACAAATGGAAAGCATTTAACAGTTGTCAGTCTCTCAAGAAGTGGAAGATCTCAATGATCAGAGAAGCTGCAAACAAGTCCAAGCGCTCCATCTTAGACTCTGCAGGCCTCAGTTATCAGATTAAAGGTGAAAGTTTAAGAGAACAATATGAAAAAAGACTGAACACGGACAGGTTGTTTGGAAGAGTTGCCCAGAGAAAAGCCTACTCCCCACAAAGAAAATGTAGCATGACATAGGTTTGCAGAAATGCATCTGAATGAACAAAATACTTCTGGAACCATGTCTTTTAGAGATACTTGGGCTTCATACACAACACCATGTTTGGCAGAAACTAAACACTGTATCCGCACAAACATGTTTACTTATTTATTTAACAAGGGGGACATTAAGGAAACATGAGAATATAAATGCACTATAATTATGCTCATACATAATAATAGAGATTATTTTTCATCTGCAGTTCCCAGCAGGTTGATGGTAAAAACAATAAAATAAAAACTACATTACAAAGGATAAACAAGTAACAAAGGCACCGTGGTGCATGCTGGTAGAGTGATGATGCTTTGGGCTTGTTTACAGCCACGGGGCCTGTGCATCATGCAGTCACTGAGTCAGCGGTGAACTCCTCTGTAGGTCAAAGTTGACAGTTGAAGCTTGGACCAAACTGGATCATAAAACAGGACAATGATCCCAAACACAGCAGCAAAGTAAACAAGAGCACGGCTGAAAAAAAAAAAAAAATCAAGGTATTGTGATGATTCAAAGTCCAGACCTCAAGCCAAATTACTGTGTATATGGGACTTTTAGAGAGCTGCGGGAAGTAAAGTGCAAACCTCAATGAACTGAAGCAATGCTGTAAAGAAGAGTGGGTCAAAATGCCTCCACAACCATGTGAGACTGAAGAGCTGATCACATCAGAGGAGTTACTGCTGCTAAAGGTAGGTCTAAACTATTGCATCATGGGGTGTACTTAGTTATTAACAGACATCTTGACCCATTTTCTTTTAGTTTTTATTTGATCAATAATGGCATGGTGTTGGGAGTGGTGGAACAGAGGTTAGAGAAGGTGGGCCTGTGCTCGGAAGATCGCCAGTTCAACTCCCAGTACTGACAACATCAAAATGTGGGTGGGGTAGGTGAAGCACCCACACCTGTCTCCGCCCTGATTTGCCCTTTTTGGGCCCTTGAGCAAGGTCCTTTTAACTCTCACCATATGCTCCCCTGGGCGCCCTAGACAGCAGCTCTCTGCTCCACACAGAGGGCTGTGGTATCTCGGTGGTTGTGTCAGGAAGGGCAGCCTGTGTAAAAATAATCGCCAAGTCTTCGTGTGAGTTAGTTCACTGTGGTGACCCCTGAAGAAGGAGCAGCTGAAAGAAGAAAAATAATATTTATAATGACGTGATGTAATCTGTTGTGTTTTTTGCACTTTTAATTAGATTAAACTAATTTCAGAACCTGGTAAAGATATGTGCTCTAATCTATGAATGATAACACAACTTTAGACAGAACATTTGTATGCAACAGTAATACTATATAAATACCAAAAGGGTGTTTGTTGTCATGAGTTGTACAGCTGCCACTGGCAATAAAACTTCAACATAATTTCATAGAGTGGTGTTTATAGAACCAGCTGTGACCCCAAGGTCATAATAATGGGGTGAAGCTGGCCTAAAGGTGGACTCATAAACAGTGGCGATTTTAGCCTCTGTTGGGGGGGTGCTCAAGCACTCATAAACTTTAACTCAGCACCCCAGAAAAATAAAGAAACCACCATCACAATTTTGTCCTCAAACCTTACATTCACCAAAATCTTGAATAAGTTTGGAATAAATATGGAATAAATGATGCCACAAGGGTCAGTAAAATCTATAAGTTGTTTTTTTTTTTTTGTTGTTGCACAAGTCGGATCCTCCACGCCACCTGTCAATCAATCTTGTAGGCTCATCAGCATGACCAATCGGTGATCTCAGTTTGTCCCGAAGTGAAACGCCCCTTACCTGCAGGAGCTGGGGGGAGGGACAGGATTCATTCAACCTTTATTTATACAGGTTAGTCTCACTGTCCAGAGAACTCATTTTCAAGAGAGACCTGTATGTGTGAGGGAAGCACAGCGCTACGTCTGTAGCATCTTAGCTAGCGCGTCTGTATTGTGCACTGCAATACAGTTGTTGGTAGTTGTCGACCGCTACTGGAGGGGGAGTGTTAGGATCCATGAGAGAAGCGGAGCATTCACACAATGAGAGCTGTTTGTTAGGTTACTTCTTGTTTTATTTATTTTTTTATTCAACCTGTATTTATACAGGTAGTGTCACTGAGTCACGATGACTCATTTTCAAGAGTTGAAGAGTTTGTTGTGCCGTGCTCTCTAAAATAGCTACAGAGTCAAGTGTTTACTTATGTCGATAAATGATGTTTAACAACCCATTAAATTTTTTTATCTTCTTTGTTCATATTTTCTATTTTCATCTTTAAATCACTTCTTGGTCTGCTGCCTTCATACATCGCCTACACGTCACTGCGTGAGTGCAGCTACAGCATGCGCTCTCAGGACATTATTACCTGCAGTGTTCTCTCAGTGAGGACTGAATTAGGCAAAAGTTTCTTCTCCTACTCCACTCCTGTTTCCTGGAACATCTTGCAAAAAGATCTGAAGCTCTCGACCTTGACCTCTCTAAGTGTCTTCAAACATCTGCGAAGTTCCTGGCAAAAACCAATGCAGACATGTTCCTGTTTTTAGTTTTCTACAACATCTTACAGTTCTTTGTTACATTTTCTTTTAAATGCCATTTTATTTTCACGAGTTTAAAAAAAAATCATTTTTGTACGCATCCTTTATGATTGTCTGTTATTATCTTTGTTGTCCACTGTTGCCGTCACTCTTAGTTAAAATCAGGTCTCTCTTGTAAATGAGTCCCCAAGGCTCAATGAGATGAACTAAATAAAGGTTAATAAATGCTAAATACAACAAAGGTTGAATAAAAAATAATACACCAGAATACAGGAAATGGCATCTCCTTTATTCAGAATTTTCTGGGGGAGAACACCCAGACCCCCCACATTACAAATGCTTCTGACATCAATGGCCACCACGTTGTTCAAAGAGCCATTGTCAGCACTGGGGGCAAAGCACCCCTAAAGGTCAGATTGTAGAATCGCCCCTGCTCGTAAATAAAAGCTTTCTTTTTAGCTTTACCCGCAGCTCAGACAGGTTGTCAAGGTTTAGTTGAAGTCAAAGACCGGAAGTTGTGTGATAGTTTGACACGGGGCACTGACTGATTCCGCTTTGCCACGTTTCACTAAATGACGTAATCCCTCCGGTCGACAGTTTCTGCTGCAGTAACGGAACTCACTTAACGACGGCGACGAAACTAGCCAGCCGGCTAGCATAGACACCTGCCCCAATTCTCTGGATTCGGTTTTGCCTTACTACTAAAGAACTATTTATACGTCAGAGCACAAGGACTGAAGTAGGGTTAAACCAAGACACTTGTTTTGAGTTTGTTTTCTTTTCCCTTTCATCTCAGCTGCTAATGTTAGCCGTTTCCTGGTTGAAGTTGCAGCCATTTTGGATTTTTACGGAGAAAATAGCTAGCCGGTCGCGGTTTGGGGAGCTCTACAAGCTGGTCATCCATCCTGTTTTCATAACCACGCAACCGTCACTGTTTACCCGTGGACGAAAGGAGATTAACCACACTACGAGTCAACTATGAATCCCGAATAGTAAGTATCTTATTAAAACCAAACGCTGCGGTCGGGGAGCTAAAGTTAGCTTCGTGCTAACGCGTATCAGGATCGGCGAATTCAGCCAAAAAAACAAGAAACATCAGCTGACAGTGGCATTGTGTAACTGAGAACATTCAAGAACAACAGTTGAAGGTTTACACACTTTAGTGTAGTCGTTTTATCTCTGACATGTCAATGTTCGTTGTCCGTGAACCCGGTTAAGCAGGTGTTTGTTAGGGCGGTGAACAGCCTGCTTCAAGGCTCGGTTACAGTTCAGAACAAAGAGAAGTGTCCGAGTCTGACAGCTTGGGTTAACAACTGCTTTCATACTTTTCTAAGACGGTGCCCATATTGTCCAGTCGGTTTTATCAATCGATAATAATCGTGTCTCACGGTTCCGGACACAAAGCCTCAGTCGATCATGACTGTTTTCCTGAGGATGGTTGGTTTTACTCAGTAGTTGGTGTTTTCAGTAATATGGTTTAAAAGTGCTGAAGCAGTGCCTCCACCTCTCAGTCATGTGTAGGTCACATGCTACAGGATAGGCCCTCGATTTCCCCACAGCAATGTTGAGTAATCAGTTACTCAAGCTTTTTCTACTTCTTAGTTTCTCATTAATAAATGTGAACACAGATGGAAAGTGGGCCATTTGGACTAGTTTCTTCCTTGTTTGTATCACTGTGAATTTTAATTTATGTTGTCCATTGTAGCAACATTTCATGTCCACACTTATCTGTAGATGGATTTATAACCTACTGATGGTCCTTCCCTGTTTGTCAGCTGTTTGAAGACAGGAGTGTCAAAGTGGAGGAAACAGTTCAACTACGTTTTAGAGACTGAATTTATACATTTAAAGAATAGGTTAAGAAATGTCTGATTTACCTAATGTTCATCTTGGCTTCCATTGGGGTTTTCTAAATGAACATACCAGGATGAGTTCTGTGATGAATAAAAGAGAACAAGATGTACGGAGTAAGGTAAGTCGGATCAGTTTTAGTTTGTTTAGGATTGGGCCAAGACTCATTTGTCAGTCAACATATCAAGATGAGGACACTTGTTTGGGGACAGCACTGTCCATATTTTGGACAAAGATCTATGGTGTGAAAAAAAGAGTGAAGGAAGTATGCATCAATAATCCAGGTTAAACGATCTTTTAAAAGTTAAGTCAGGTCCTCTGGATAGATTCTTCTTGTAGAAACGTTTCGTCTTTTATCCCAAAGACTTTGTCAGTCTGGAGTGAAGGAAGTGCTGCTATGTTAAACAAAAAAAGACCAGCTACACGAAGGGGAACTTTCCGGTTTCAACCGTACTGTTCGTTAAATCTAGTCTCCAGTTAGTTTTGCACCTTGGTGCATTTTACCAAAACATTTCACATGTGGATCAGAACAATAAAAATCCCACGTCGTGATTTGCATGCGAGTTGAGCTTCCAAAAACAGAGCAGCTCGCTACAGTTTTAAAGCTCGGACGTTCACACTTAAGGTTAAAGTGGAAAAAGATCCACAAAGTCAAAGAAAAATCAAGAAAATCATCCCAGTCACATTTTTAAACTCTTGGGATCTGTCTAGATTAGATTCCAGATTATTTTCTCAATCTTGTGTTTTTAGTTTTTAAAGTTGTGTTGAGCTGGTCAGCTCTGCACAGGAGCATCTATTGTTCACAGCTTAATGAAGAAGGAATGACTGAGTCTGCTACAATAAGAGGTTGAACTGGAGTCGTTCTGGAGGGCTGGAAAGTATTCAGACTTCCAGTTTCAAGGGAAGAGTGAAAACAGAAATCTGCTGATAATTAACTATTTGTAGATTTCCCATATCTACTTTTTTTTTTACTTCCCCCACCCCATTTATCATTAGGTTGTGTGTAACTATCAGAAGTAGTTTTTAATTCTTGCTCTGCGTTTTGTTGATTAATTGCCAGAAATAATTATAGGAACCTAGAAAGCACCACACCTTTAAGTTTCTAAAACCTAAGTTGGATCAGTTCAAAAAGGAGGAAGCTGAAGCAGAACAAACATTTCCACATTTTTCACAAATGACTTGTTAGAAAGGTGCAGTTTTATGTGTCTAGTCAAGTGGGTACACACAAATAAATACTGCTGCTTCTTTGTTCTGATGTGGAAAATACTTATGGAGCTTTAGAAATAAAAGTGTGCATCCGTCCGGTACAGAGCGCACTCAGCGCAGGCTCAGATTTTGAGTCCAGTTGCTTCTAATTTCAAAATGGAAGTACTGGTAAGTGTTGTGTGAAGTCACCGTATCTTTGTGTACCTGCTATTAACAATTAGAAGGTAGAAAACTTAAGTAAATGATCTTCTGACAAAGTATAAATACACTTTTTCATCTCCAGTATCATGAGTATATACTGTACCTCCTCATTTCTTGGTAATTGTTATACGTTTATTGCACTGGAGTTCAGTGTTGCATAATCCACCTTTTAAGGTGGAACTTTTTAATGGGAGAGCTCTGACTTACAGAACAGCCAAGTTATCCTGTTCTGGAATCCCCATAAACATTTCCCAGTCTGCTGAGCTGGTGTTGACAGGTGTGTCATGTGACCAATACTGTTTGTCCCTCCTCCTCTTTTCAGTTGGCTTCACGTGTTTAGTCACATGATCAGGCTGAGCGCAGCACAGTGGGTTTCTCTGTCAAATGCAGAACTTTTAACTTCTGACAAGTGAAGAGCAATTATTTAAGAAGAATAATCCTAGAAATTTAAATATCTTGAGTCATGCGTGTATTTGCAGACAGTGGCACTGTTTTATAAACAGTAAGTAATGTGAACACCTTCTAACCATGTCTGTGTTTCTTTTTGTCTTCTCAGTGACTATTTATTCAAACTGCTCCTGATTGGTGACTCAGGTGTCGGAAAGTCTTGTCTTCTTCTTCGATTTGCAGTAAGTTTCCCCCGAATGAACCACATCTTTCTAAAAGTCATTTTGCTGTGATTTCTTACAGGTTTTAACAAATGTATTTTTAATCAACGTATTGACAACGGTCCTGTGGCTGGCTGGTGTCACTGGGCTGAGACTGTGGGAGAGTAGTTGACCACTCAATATTGCATACCAGTGTTTCCCCTAGTTAACTTGCCATGGTGGGGTGCTCATCTCATCCATGATTTTTGTTGACGGGGGTACGGACACATGTCTGAGCGCAGCAGTTTTTGAGTGGGGGGCATTCAGCTTGAGGGAAGAGGCAACGTGAGTGCTGCCTTTAGCTTTTTAGCTAGAGAGCCTGTATTTCGTGCCACTAGCTTAGTGCTATGTCAGTGCTGGGTGTGGGGGGACAAGTTCGGTTTGGTAGGTGGGGTGCTCAGTTCTGTTGACGGGGTGGGGCACCCTGCTTGTATAATGGTAGGGGAAACACTGCATATACTGTGATCAAGCAAGGAAATTAAGAACTCCTGTGAACTCTTCGAGACATTTTAGAGACTCCTCTGTGAATGCGGTCTTCCAGCTTTCCCAAACACACACAGCCCATTCTCCTTTAGAGACTTTGTTTGTTACTTGGGAAGGTTTTTGTTCATGAAACATTAAGCAGGATGTGAACAGAATATCTGAACCATCTCCCTGATTTTATTTCTCTGCAGGATGATACGTACACAGAAAGTTACATTAGCACTATCGGTGTGGACTTCAAAATACGAACCATAGAACTAGATGGGAAGACCATTAAACTTCAAATTGTAAGTAAAAGAAATGTTTTGTTTTGTAATTAATTTTGTCCAGTCTTTGTATCACTGTTCGAGTTAACTAAAAGCAGAGGTCTGACATTATTCTAAGCACTTTGAGATTGTCAAATCTCATATGAAGGCTCAAACCAACAGTAGATTACAGAATTAAATATCTTACAAGTGTAAGAGTTCAGTAGGGTTAATTTGAGTTAAATATTGTCTGTGTGAGAGGACTCGCTGTGTAATAATAATAATACTTTATTTGTATAGCACCTTTCAAACAAATGTTACAAAGTGCTTCACATTAATCACTTAAAACATAAATGACATCAGAAACACAAAAGTATACCAAATCAATTAAAATAACAACATAAAAAAGAAAGAAATTCAGATATTAAAAGCCTTATTAAACAAATAAGTTTTATCCAACATTTACCCCCAAAGTTTTGTAACTGCATGAGCTCCAACTCTGCTGCGCTCTGATTTTAAAGACAAGTCCTGTTGAAAACAATCTGACATCTAAAATGGTCAGTGTGAACACCTCCTGGGAGAGGAGACTAATACAGGCACTTATGGATTTTACAAAATACACTTTTTGAAGATGAGACTTAGAAGAAAACTGCAACACAAAGTTCAGGAGATAACGGTTACCGTACTTGCCACCGTACATAAGTCGCATTTATTATGCGTCACCGCTGACCACATGAAAACTTGGGCTGTTGTTGTGTCAAAAATTTATTGACTGTCAAATAGTGGCGTGGGAGCATGCACGGGAGGATTTTAACAAGAATTTAACAAGTTTAACACTTAAAAACAATTATTTGTTTGCTTGAAATTAGAGTACAGGTGTGTCTCAGTTGAACTTTTCCTAAATAAATTCACTTTAATTGTCAAATCAGCTGCATTTCTCCTGGGCAGTGCAGTGAAATGCAGCTGATTTGACGTTTGCTCCAAAAGTTCCAGAGCAGATGAAGGTGGCTCAGTACGGCAAGCCAAGTGTGTCATTAATAGCCACTTTTACCTATTAATGACACACTTGGCTTGCATATAGGTTGAGGGTCCTCTAGTGGCTGAAAATGGTAGAGTTCGATATTTTCCATGTCTGAATGAATGAAATCGTCAGATCTCAGCCAAAAATTTGGTTATAAATATTGGGGGGGGGGGGGGGGGATATTAGCAACTTTGGTGTATAAGTTCGCATGACTTGCTAATTTATGCAAAAAGGTGTTGAGTTATACAGTGAAAAATATGGTAATTTATTTCATATATCTTTGGTTTCAGTAAATATCCTGGTGTCAGACTTCAAATCTAACTCTTTGAAGTAGAGGGTGGCAGCTGTATTTTAATTTATTTATTTGAAGGAAAATGGTGGACACACTGGGGCTCCTGTTGAGCTGCTCACAGGGTGGCTTGTGTCTCCTTCCTGGCAGCTTCGCTCTCAGCAGCAGTTTGTGAATGAGTTTAGGCCAGAGGGCTTCAGGGAGTGTTTCCTGTCCAGCCCTCTTATGAAGGAGACGTTGGAATAACTAAACATAAACATCAGTGTTTGGTCATGACAACAGTGACGACATGACATGAAACAAGAGCAGAACTGAGGAGAAGACACATTTAAAATCACCTTGCTGCCAGCACATAGTCTGTGTCGAGCATTAGTTTTTGTAATTTTATTTGTAACTCCGCTATTCTTGAATCAAGTTTATAAAGAGGCTGTTTGCAAAATAGAAAAAATATCGATCCATGTCCTTCTGGGACTTTATGATGCTTCAACTTTAAATAAAAATGAAATGAAGCACTTTAACGGTAGTTTAACTTGCACAATCTGATATTTGTGGGTTCACAGCTATAAACGGGTGAAGTCTGCCTTCTTCACAACTTGTTGCTTGTCTTGATAGCTTGTGTTCTCCATTTAGCAGGCTAGCTTCTCTTCTCGTCCGTTTCCCACAGCACATATAAAGTTGCTTTACAGCCTCGCATGCAGTCAGGCCTTTTGTTTTACCCAAACAGCTGAGCTTTTTCAACGTGCCTGTATGAGACCACAGGTGGTGCTGAAAGCCTGCTCTGCTTTTGTTCTGCTGACGACGTGAGCACATCTCAAGTAAAAGTTGAACAGCATCAGCTTTAGGGTTGCATTAAAACATTTAGTGTGAGACATGTAGAATTTGATGACTGAAAGAAACACAAAGCATCAACATTAAATATGAATAACAGGACAGACAGATTGATTTTTTTTTTAGAATAGACATTTTGAGCTCTTGGGGAAACTGTAAACATGATTATCTTAACTGTCGTAATAGTTGTTTTAAACTTTTAATAATATATATCTATAATCTTTCCCTGTGTTATTGCTAAACAAAATATCTGCTAATCTTTTTTTCCTCCGTCAGTGGGACACAGCGGGACAGGAGAGATTTCGTACAATCACATCCAGCTACTACAGAGGTGCTCATGGTATCATTGTAGTGTACGATGTCACAGACCAGGTAGGTCCAACACGTCTCGCAGTCGTCACTCGAATATCTGCAGCAGGTCACATTGTGCCTAAACAGAACATTTCTACTAGTTCAGTAAAAGAAGTGGAGAACGATGAGAAATGTTTAAATCTGTTGATATCCAGTGAATATACACAGGCTCTACTGAACACCTCTTCTAAACTGCACACGTTTGATCTGTTGGTTTCATCTCAGGAGTCCTTCAACAACGTCCAACAGTGGCTACAAGAGATTGATCGCTATGCCAGTGAAAACGTCAACAAGCTACTGGTTGGAAACAAGTGTGACTTGACAACAAAAAAGGTGGTGGATTATACAACAGCAAAGGTGAGGCACCTGGGTGTGCACACACACACACACACACGAGCTGTGACTTGAGTTTATTTGTTTAATTTTATTATTTTAGTTTCAGTGTGTTGAAAGGTGATCCGGTCACAGTGAAATGTTGTTTAACTAGTCCAACAAAGTTGAGTCAGGTCGTCTGGCCCCAGGATTTTCTACCTGGATTATTGAGCTTGATCTTTGATGTTTTGAACCACTTTGACATGGCTGTCTCAGAGGAGTCGACAGCGGAGAGAGTGGGCTCCAGAAACCATCTTATCACCATCAAACTGGTTGGCCCACTATGGGAGTGCGCTACTTGTGGGACTGAGTTTGTTTGTGGCTCCTCGGACTAATGAAGTCCTTTGGATGAAAGACGAAACGTCTCGACAAAAAGAAACTGTCCAGATGACCTGGATGAACTTTGTTGGATTCTTTATCTGGATTACTGAGCATGAACTTTGATGTTTTTTAACTAGTGTGTGATCAATAGAGGTTTACTTGAAACATTTTGATGAGGAACTCGTCATTTGACTGTCATTAGTGAAAATGTGAGAAAAGTCTGAGTGAAGTTCGAGGCAGATTGTTTGAGGGTCGTTACTTCAGATGATTTGGTGTCTCGGTCAAAACCTTTCCTCCTTGTTCCTGAGCTCCGTGTTGGACTCCGACCTGCCACTGTAACAACTCCGCTTGATGACGGAGCACATGGGTTAAAGGTGGACAATAAATACACCTCCTCTTCTTTTTGCTTGATTTAAAAGTTGTTTTTTAAAAAGTATTTAGGCCGTTTCAATTCAGTAGGTACGGACTACAAGACGTCCCAAAACAACTTGTCTTTAAGTATGAGTAACTTTTCTGACTCAGCCTGACGTTTGCTGAATGTGCTGTGAAAATAAAACTCCAGGCACTTTTCTTTCTAAATGTTTTGTACAGCTGCATGTTTTTGTTGGATGTTTAACCCAAATTAGTTTTTGTCATTTGTTACAGCTTTGCGGTGCTCTAATGCACAATAAATGTAAAACCAAGCGCTGTCTTTCTGTTCTCCAGGAGTTTGCTGATTCTCTGGGAATTCCCTTTTTGGAAACCAGCGCCAAAAATGCCACCAATGTAGAGCAGGCCTTTATGACCATGGCTGCAGAAATCAAGAAGAGGATGGGCCCCGGGGCCACCGCCGGAGGAGGCGAGAAGCCCAATGTGAAGCTGACTCCAGGCACTACTGTCAAGTCTTCATCAGGAGGATGCTGCTGAGAGAAAAACCACTTTGCCCTTTCCACACCTGGCCCCTTTACTCTGCAGGCCCATCATGTGCGCTGCCACCGCCCCGTCTAAACACCACTGTGTCCCAATGAAGCCCCCACCACAAGCAAGACCGGACAGGGAAGACTTGATTTCTGTTTATGTGAGAACAAGATGAAGTCGCCTGTATTTGTACTGTACATAATGTAGCCGCACTACCAAAAACAACTAAAGCATCTTTCTAGTCTTACTGTCCAGGTGTTGATGACAAATTCTACTGATGGTTGATCATTTGACTTCCCCCTCCTCCTTTCCCGTCCAGCTCCAATCTGTCAGAGACTAATTTGGCCCTCTGAATGCAGGTTCAGAACAACGTTGTGTTGTGTGTGTGCGTGAGAGAGAGTGTGTGTTTTTCTGCATTCCTACAGCAGGGTTGGTAAGCCCATTGGTTTCTCTAAGGTTTCTGTTCTTCTGTGACTGCTGTCTTTTTCAGCATGCGTCTGTCAGTCTGTCTCCATTTGAAGGTGTTTTTAATTTTTTTTTCTTACCAACCTCTGCACAACATTGTCTCAGCTGTTCTGAAGTCAAGTGCAACAGTATATGTACATAAACATTATGTATATATATGTAAAATGGAGTTTGCCAGTTCTCTTGTTTGACACATTATTGAATTGGTCTTGAATCTTTGCATTAAATTTGTGGCTGAAGACAACTGTAAGTTTGTTGCTCAACATGTAACACTTTAATTGAAAATAAATATTGTACTATCATACTGTATGCAAGGATTCTTGTTGACACGTGAAGAACAGTCTGATTTATTTAATCTATGACATGTGACATATATGCTCTCATGGTAGAAGACCTTTGCATTTTCATGGTTCGTTCATATTAAAAAGCAGCACATAGTTTGAACTTTAGGGTCTTTATTCTTTTTGTGCTCAAGTTTTATCTTAAGACCGTCTTATCCTGAGAAATGGACTTCTAGCTGTTTTGGTCAAACCTTTAACATAATGTGTGATATCATACAATAATGTATATACACAATAATAACTTTACACTCGGTGTGTGAATGACTCAGCTACAACCACATCGAAGTTTAGCTCAGTATCTAAAAACAGAGTGTTAGTAATTTATTTGTGTTTGCTGATGTCGATTAGCTGAATGAGGTTGACTAAGTCAATCAGTTGGAGGCATGCGTCCAAAGATTATTTACTGCATGATTCATTGAGATATTTTGCTAAAAGACAAAAGTGGAGTTCAAGGAGTTGTCAATTTTTTTTTTTTTTTTTAATCTTGTGTGATCTGTTGGTGCTCAAAATGTGTTTGGGATCAGTCTCAGCTACTACCACATCAAATTTCCCTATAATGACTCAACAATGTGTTTTTTAAGGTCAGTTGATTGTGTCAGCCATCTTGAATGGAGCTGACTTCAGCTACAAGAATTTCTAGATGTACGGCCATTGATTACTTTCTGCAGGTTTTATTCAAACTCAAACTGGTTCATGAGATTTTGCTAATAGACATTAATATGAATGTTAGTTTTGCCTTTCTGAGGCGAGCAATAAATTCCTGTCTGTCAGAACAGTGCTTCACTGCGTCAGGTCACAACACAACCGTCGGCCAGAAATGCACACATGGATTAAAGTGCAACCGTGAGGATGTTTTTAAATGGTCACAAAATCCCAGAACTTCTCATCCTGTGTTCAGCATAATGGTACTGTTACTTCTTCCAGTTATTTAATGGTTAACAAAGGTGCACCACAAGGCTCCATCTTAAGACGCACCCTGTTTACAATCTGCATACTGTAGGTAATGTAGGTTAGAGCATCCTTACATTTCTATGCTGATGACAGTTGTTTGTTGTCAAGCTGAAACAGTTGATAAGGTTTTCCAGCATTTGCAATCCGCTTTCGACATCATCCAGTCTGATTTGTTTTGTCTCAAACTTGTTCTTAACGCCGACAAAACCAAAAAGATGCTTTCAAACAGGAAGTTGGTCCCAGCAGTTCTTCCTCTGATTTTATCCTCAAATGGTGTCCCCATTGAGTGCAGCCAGGGGGTGGAGGGATTCCGGTTCGGTGACCTCAGGATTCCTTCTCTGCTCTTTGCAGATGATGTGGTCCTGTTGACGTCATCATGCTGTGATCTTCAGCTCTCACTGGAGCGGTTCGCAGCCGAGTGTAAAGTGGCTGGGATGAGAATCAGCACCTCCAAATCTGATGCCATGTTCCTCAACCAGAAAAGGGTGGATGCTCTCTTCAGGTCGAGGGTGAGGTTCTGCCTCAAGTGGAGGAGTTCAAGTATCTTGGGGTTTTGTTCATGAGTGAGGGAAGAACGGAGCATGAGATTGGCAGATGGATTGGTGCAGCATCTGCAGTATTGTGGACTCTGTACTGGTTTGTTGTGGTGAAGAAGGAGCTGAGCTGTAAGGCAAAGCTCTCTTTTTATCAGTCAGTCTACGTTCTTACCCTCACCTATGGTCATGAACTCCTGGTAGTGACCAAAAGAATGAGATTGCGGATAAAGTTGGTTGAAATGAGTTTCCTCCTCAGGGTAGCTGGACTCTCTCTTAGAGATAGAATCAGAATCAGAATAAGCTTTATTATCATTGCCTCGAGATACAACGAGAATATGTCCGTACAGTTGTCCGAAAGATGGGTGGAATGCACGTAGCTGCTGCTATATAGCGCAGCCTTCTTCTCCTTTTCAAAATACAATTTTGTAGATAGAAAAAAGGGACAAACCCATGAGGAGAGGATAGTGGCATTACAAAAAAGATCTTGTCACACCTTGTCTTAACAGGACACGATTTAAGACATCAAAAACTGTGCCAGCAGCACATTTATGAACACGCTACATATGCATTTGACGACGAGGTAGTCCATGAAGTACAAGCAGATAGTCCATTGTCCTGATAAGATGATGGTCAGCCAGCACAGATCTGACCTAGTTCTGATAAGCCTCCACAGAAGATGAGAGGGGGGGGGGGGGGGATGCGATAGATGAAGCTTTTCCTTAGTTTACACATTTCCCAGGCGAAATTGATAAGTCTGCCTATTTCACGGCAAACTGGGGAGTCAGATTACATAATCCACAATTGTTGATTTATTCAGGCAGACTATTTTTCCTTATCAGCCCTGAGTTATACTGGTACTTCCAAGGTCCGAAATGGCCAGATTAGGGTGCATTCTACTGGTCTGTGCTTACGAGCCTCTTCAAGATTGTCTTCATGCTGATGAATTCCAAATCCGCAGGTGACCTGCGATTCAAATCACTTCCATCTTACGGTTTAGCTCGTAAATCAGCTGATTTTGAGTCCTCAAAGCATGACCCAAACCTTCACATAGGCATCAGCCTAACGAGGGCCAAATTAGCTGCGCCCGTCTTCTTTGTATGTTGATAAACCGGGATCCAGACTATTCCAAAAACAGGAAACCTGTTATCATAAATCGAATTATATGCATTTCTGTGTCCTCGATCGACAGCAGAGGTAGACACATCACATTCCACTTCCCAGAGATATATCCAGCTGCATGCATGTCGTTCGAGCAAATGAGGGTTCTCCAGGACCCTGTCGCTTTGTTGAAAAGATTTTGTCATTTGCGTCGAAAGTCCAGTTGGTCAAATCCAAAACAGTAGTTTTCATTTTGGAAGATGTGTAAAATAGGAGCTACTCCGATACACAGACAGAGAGCAAACAAGCAGGAGGAGAACAGGGAGAGGGAAGAGAACACATGCACCTCGTTACAGAGCCAGTGAGGAAAAAAAATAGTGTGAGAAGTTCAGTTACCTGGGAGAGACTTGGAGTAGAATCGCTGCTCCTTCACATCGAAAGGAGCCATTTGAGGTGGTTTGGACATCTGGTAAGGATGCCCCCTGGGCACCTACCTAGGGAGGTGTTTTGGGCATGTCCGACTGGGAGGAGACCCTGGGGAAGACCCAGGACATGCTGGAGATACTGTCTCTCGGTTGGCCTGGGAACACCTTGGGCTCCCCTCAGAAGAGCTAGAAGAGGTGGCTGTGGAAATGTCTGGGCCTTTCTACTCAAGGTGTTGCCCCCCTGACCCGACTTCGGAACAGGCCGAAGGTAATGGATGGATGGATGATATTCAAGTTTCTGTAGTAGAATATTGTGATCAACAGTATCAAATGCAGCACTGAGGTCTAATAGGACCAATGTAGACACCTGTCCATTGTCAGAGGCCATGAGAATATCATTAGTAACTTTCACCAGTGCAGTTTCAGTGCTATGGTGAACTCTAAACCCTGACTGAAACTCTTCAGATTATTTCTTTGCAGATGTTCACGCAACTGACCTGCAACTAGTTTCTCTAAAATTTTTTAGATGAAAGTTAGATTGAATATAGAGCATGGATCTTTTTGGTTAGATTGGATATAGGTCTATAATTGGCTAGGATTCCTGAGTCAAGGTTATGTTTCTTAAGTAAAGGTTTAATTAAGGCAATATTAAAGCTCTGTGATATGTCACCATTCATTAGAGACAAATTAAGCAAAGCCAAAATGTCCATCCATCCATCCATCCATCCATCCATTTTCTTCCGCTTATCCGGGGTTGGGTCGCAGGGGTAGCAGCCTAAGTAGGGAGGCCCAGACTTCCCTTTCCCCAGCCACTTGGGCCAGCTCTTCCGGGGGAATCACGAGGCGTTCCCAGGCCAGCCGAGAAACATAGTCCCTCCAGTGTGTCCTGGGTCTTCCTCTGGGCCTCCTTCCGGTGGGATGTGTCTGGAACACCTCACCAGGGAGGCGTCCAGAAGGCATCCTAAACAGATGCCCGAGCCACCTCAACTGGCTCCTCTCGACATGGAGAAGCAGTGGCTCTACTCTGAGTCCCTCCCGGATGATCGAGCTTCTCACCCTGTCTCTAAGGGAGAGCCCAGACACCCTGCGGAGAAAACTCATTTTGGCCGCTTGTATCCGAGATCTCATTCTTTCGGTCACAACCCAAAGCTCGTGACCATAGATGAGGGTAGGAACGTAGATCTATCGGTAAATTGAGAGCTTCACCTTTTGACTCAGCTCTCTCTTCACCACGACAGACCTGTACAGCGCCCGCTTCACTGCAGATGTTGCACCTATCCGCCTATCGATCTCACACTCCATTTTTCCCTAATTCGTGAACAAGACCCCAAGATACTTGAACTCCTCCACTTGGGGTAGGACCTCCTCCCTGACCCGGAGAGGGCACTCTACCCTTTTCCGGCTCAAGACCATGGCCTCGGATTTGGAAGAACTGACCTTCATCCCGGCCGCATCGCTTTCGGCTGCGAACTGCTCCAGCGAAAGCTGTAGATCACGATCTGATGAAGCAAAAAGCAGAGACGCAATCCTAAGGCCACCAAAACGGATCCCCTCAACACCTTGGCTGCGCCTAGAAATTCTGTCCATAAAAGTTATGAACAGAATCGGTGACAAAGGGCAACCTTGGCGGAGTCCAACTCTCACCGGGAACAAGCCTGACTTACTGCCGGCAATGCGGACCAGGCTCTGACACTGGTCATACAGGGACCTAACAGCCTGTATCAAAGGGCCCGGTACCCCATACAACCAGAGTACCCCCCAAAGGGTCCCCCGAGGGACGCGGTCGAATGCCTTCTCCAAGTCCACAAAGCACATGTAGACTGGTTGGGCAAACTCCCACGCACCCTCCAGGACCCTGCTGAGAGTGTAGAGCTGGTCCAGTGTTCCACGGCCAGGATGAAAACCGCACTGCTCCTCCTGAATCTGCGGTTCGACTATCCGACGGACCCTCCTCTCCAGAAACCCCGAAAAGCCCTTACCAGGGAGGCTTAAGAGCGTGATTCCCCTGTAGTTGGAACACACTCTATGGTCCCCCTTTTTGAATGGGGGACCACCACCCCGGTCTGCCAATCCAGGGGA